TCTCTTTATATAGAAAGAAGTTGAAAATTATGAAAAAAAAAGTACAACTGCGTACACGGAGAAAAATGAATATATACTTGAAGACAGTATAATATGAAAAATATACTCAAAAAAATAATAATAATCGGATACAATAACTGTATATACTTAAAAATAGCATCTATTAAAAATAAATTGAGCCGTCAGAAAGTGAAACAACACATAAAATTCTAACCGCGTTAATACAATGGAAGTCAGAAATTTATGTGTTGTTTTACTTTCCAGTGACTCAATTATTCAAATTACTACTGTTTTACAAAAAAATTTTTGATTTCAAATTACTCAAAAAGCCTCATCTTCTCTTTTGTTCTAATCTTTTTTTGGAATATTAATTTTGGAATTTCTTTAAGAATAATATTTTTAGAATATTTTCTATAAGAAGAACAGTACCTATATTTGTGCTACGAAATACTCTCTAAATTTGAATTATTAGTAAAAAGTCAGCTACTATTTCACATTAGTAAGCATTTTTACTAATTTTCAGTAAAATATTATTATTTGATTTAGTAGTTTTAAATTTTTATGCTCAAGTTCTATACAGTAAAAAGTGACTAAAAATTAGTGAAAATTCTTACTAATTTAAATAAGTAGCTCACTTTTCATTAATTCAAATTTTGAGAGTAAACAAATGACTGGTCAAAAAAGTGTTAATTAAGTTAATTAATTAATTACGCAGTAATAATTAATAACAAATAATAAAATTTAATTCAAAAAATTATTATTAAATGAACATATTAATATTAAAGACATGTGTAATTCTTTCAATAGTAGTGAAAGAAGATTTTAGTCAGACGAATTGACGAAATATTTCACGTTTTGTAATTTTAGAATTGATACACGGAGAGAAAAAACGAGCCTTTACAGCATGGACCTATGTATGCTCTCTTCGTACGCGCCTCTATCGTCCATCTTCGGTACCATCTCTTGCTGTAGTAGCTCGGCTCCTTACTATTTTAGTACGGGCAAGTGAAAATATAGTATAAGGTCGTACCGAAGATGGACGGTAGAGGCGCGTACGAAGAGAGCATATATAGGCCCATGCTGTAAAGGCTCGTTTTTTCTCTCCGTGTAGTAAAAGTAAATTTTAGTTAAAATTAAATTTAAATTAAATTAAATTAAATTTTAAATTTAAATTAAATTAAATTTTAATTTTAAATTAAAAAATAAAATAGCTCTCTTTACTCAACTCGAAAATCTGAAATACTTCACGGAAAGTAATAGTTCAGGAAAAAGTCCTAAAATAGTTTAATAACTTTGGATAAGGCGGTCATTTTAAGAGATTTTCATGAATATTCAATAGAAAGTCCTAAAAAGTTCAGGAAAATCTCAAAATAATTCAGTACTTTTTTTCAGTACTTTCTCAAAATAAATTAAATAGTTTCTACTGAAAAGTTCGCAAGATCTTATAAAATTACATTCCTAAATTTCCATTTTGCTTGCCATGAAAAAGTCAGGGATTGATCCTGAGAAATTACTAAACTCGTTCTTGACTTTGATGCGCAGTTGACCATTGCGCATCGCGCGACTGTTTATGCATTAAGTCCCCGTTCACAGTCACGCTCGCACTCGGCAAAAAATAAATTAAGGTGCTTATATACCTCAAATTTCGATCAGATGAACATTATTTCTGGACCGTGAAAATGCGTGAAAAGTCATTTTCACGGCGGGTATTTTTGAATTGTTTTATACAAAAAATGTTTTTTTAAGAAATATAATATTAAATAATTGTTTTAATATGTAAGAACACTTTAAAATAGTGATAGAGAGATGATTTGATTAAAAAATTTAGCAAATTTTGCTTTAAAACGTTTTCTGCTACAAGAAAGTATAAAATGACGATGTTTGTGAAATGGTTTGTACAGTGCTTCTTCCTTGTGAGTGTTTCTCAGAGTTTTGTTTATGTTATGTCGGTTCTTTTTAACTTGTAATAAATAATGAGTGCTGAAAATAAATCGGTAAGTTGAAATGTTTATCAAATAAATTTAAATTCAACTAATTGTTTCGAATAACTGAAAGAAACATGTAAACATGTACACTGTACAAACCATTTCACAAACATCGTCATTTTATACTTTCTTGTAGCAGAAAACGTTTTAAAGCAAAATTTGCTAAATTTTTTAATCAAATCATCTCTCTATCACTATTTTAAAGTGTTCTTACATATTAAAACAATTATTTAATATTATATTTCTTAAAAAAACATTTTTTGTATAAAACAATTCAAAAATACCCGCCGTGAAAATGACTTTTCACGCATTTTCACGGTCCAGAAATAATGTTCATCTGATCGAAATTTGAGGTATATAAGCACCTTTATTCTATTGATGGAAATTCGTAAATTTAAATAAGCGCGCTAATCTGAACCAATAACCCAAGAAGCACGTAATATATCCTCAATATCAAGGTAATATTACACGTGAGATTCGTAATATAACGCTGTAATATTACAGTAATCTTACAGTGATCTTAAAATGTCCGCCTCAAGGTAATATTACCGGGAATATTACTGTAATATTAACGGTAATATTACAGACTGATTTGAGTTATTCATAAAGCATAAAAAACGTAAATATATTATAAGTCAATTTGGCTTGTTGGTAAAACTCTGGACTCGTGTGCTTTGAGTTCGGGGTTCGATTCCCTGGATGGGTAGATTTTTTTCGTAAAGAAATGTTCCCATAATATTACTGTAATATTCTCTTGTAACATTACCTTAATATTACGGTATAATATTACTGCAATATTACTGTAATATTACCTTAATATTAGCGCGTAATATTACAGTAACATTACCGGTAATATTACCTTGAGGCGGACATTTTAAGATCACTGTAAGATTACTGTAATATTACAACGTTATATTACGAATCTTACATGTAATATTACCTTGATATTGAGGTTATATTACGTGCTTCTTGGGAAGATAATTCTTTGAATACTTTTACATAGAGGATTTTATTAAGTAACAGATATTACATAGCTTGCTTAGGTTAGGGGATGCGCATCGAATTTCTGTACCGGAGACGAGAGTTCTAATCCGCCTGCTATCAAATTTTCTCTAAAATTGATTTTCTGTTTCAGATTCTTAATAAAAATTGTTTCATGTGTGTGTTATATTAATAATATATTGTTTGTATTTGTTCGCTATGTATAAATTACAGTTTTCCTAAAAGTATCAAATTGAGACCAAAAATTGCATCAAATCTTTGCAACGTTTTGATGCACATAAGTTATATCAAAAAGAGATCGTTTTGTGTATCATTTTTAGAAATGATACACGAAACGGTCTCATTTTTTGATGCAAAAAATTTAATCAATTTATATCAATCATGGCCGAATTGAATCGACTCAAAATTAAACGAATTTTTTTCAGATATTTTGGTAATAGTACAATTGCGGAGACCATTTCACTATTTAATTTGAAAATGAAAATAACAGAAAATCAAAGACAATGTGCAATTCGATAATTAAAAAGTGACAGCTTATAAACATAACCTAAAATGCATGAGAAAAAATTTGTCGATAAAATCAATATAGCCGAGCTTTTTAGAAGGTAGATGGCAGTTTTGCTTTTTATAAAAACGATTCAGAGATCGTTTCGTGTATCATTTCTAAAAATGATACACAAAACGATCTCTTTTTGATATAACTTATGTGCATCAAAACGTTGCAATAGAAAAAGATACAACCAAGTTTACTGTGTATTGTAAAGTGTAACGTAAATTATGTCTATATGTGTGTTTTAAAATAAGTGTGAGTGATGAAAGGAGAAACAAAATAAAATATTTTTCGTCTTCCTTAGCTAAGAATTTTCCTGAAATAGTTCAGGAATTTTTCATGTAGGGCTTCATGAGAAAGTCGTGTGGTAACTCATCAATAAGTAAGGAAGTATTTCTTTAACATTTATGGAATGAACTAAGCAAATTCTCATTTGATTTATTTTTAAATTTTTAGTGTTTATTTCAACAGAAAGTGATGAAATATTTAAGACTATATCAAAAATATTTTATTACTTATTCAAAACAGATAAGTTTGAAAATATACTGAAATGGTCGCGATATCCAGAGTTACAAAACTGAGTTCAGGACTTTTTTCTGAACTATTTTTTTCCGTGTTCTTAGATTCCAAAAAACGTTATTTACTAATATACGGGAAAAAATTCTTTATTTATTAGAGATTGTATTGCAAAAAAAAAAATTGAAAATCCATGGTGTCTCTCTTTGAGAAAAATCAATATTTTTTTTAAATTTTGACTTTTTGGGCATTTCCACTAAAAATATATTATTTTTTATTGCATATATAAAAAATTTGAAAAATTTCCAACAAAACTTTAATTTTAAAAAATTCATAACTCCCGTAACTTTCATCAAATTAAAAAAAAAAAAAATACGTATTCTCTTATTTTTCATAAAGATTCCGAAAAAAAATGTTCCAGGCAAAAAAAATTTTGAATAAAAATTTTTCGTAGAATGCCCCATATGTTTTGGCGAGACAAAATATTTCAAGTCAAATATATATGTTAAAAAGGTAGAATTAGTAGTAAAAGTAAATTTTAGCCAGGCACAAGTGTTTAATTTCTTGAAATTTTATTATCAGTAGTAAAAGTAAATTTTAGTCAGACATAATGATTTAAACTTAGTTATAACTTGTGAGTTTCATTCAGACAAAACTTTTCTATGATAATTTAAGCTTTGTTTATATACAAAACTTTTAGTCTAGTCAAAGTTTTTATTAAATATTTAAATAAAGTTCTTACAACAATTTTACAATAATTACCTAATCTCTTTTTCTTTTATAAAAATTGAAAATATATTTTAATTCATAATTTTATTAAAATACACTCTTTAATAGATAGTTATTTTTAAATAAAATTTATTTACTGTTTATTTCCAATTTTTTGCAATAATTAAAGAAAAATAGAATATTAAAATAATATTTTCATATAATATAACTGGTATTAGGTGGTTGATATTCTAAGCGCAATGGATTACGAACAAGACGTTGGAGCTGATCAGTCTTACCAATCCTTTCCTTTTCCACTTCAGAAGATGAAACGTCAGTCACTCTTCCTTATATTGGATGAATTTCTGGATTAAGGCCGTCTCAAATGTAGGATCATTCGTAAAGTAAAATATAATATATATACTTTGAGTGAAATTTATAGGAAATCTAATAATAAAGTATGAGAATATTACGCATAATGTAAAATAAATTAAAAAAAAAGAAATCATGTTAAATTTGCTTATTTTTATTCGAGAGAAGAATATTTTTATTTCAAAAAATTTATTCTTTTTCTCGCAAAAAAACTACTTTTTTTAAATATATATACATATATTCTGTCTAACTTTAAATTAGAAATAATTAATTTACAAGCAAAAATTCAGTCACTAATCTAGTAATATTTTTACTAATTGATTAGTTAAATTTATTTTTCTTATTTTTTAGTAAATAACTAAAAAAAATTAGTAATTTTTTTTTTACTAATAATTAGTATTTATATACGTAATTTTTATTTTCATACAAATGAAAACTTGAATTTAAAAATTTCGAAATTTCAAAGATCTAAGATGAATTTTGTTTGTGTCTTTCCACTCTCACTCGAATACCAAAAGTGAAGTCTTTTCTGTAACAGCGTGGGTGTCGTTCTCATTCAAATGCGGAAAATTTTGACACGACAAATGACAAACAATAGCAAAATTTGCTAAAATTCTTATCCCCTCGGCAATAGTATAAAAAAATGTTTTATCATTTTCATATGTGGGTGATTCTCCGCGTAGCGCACGATTTGGTGTCTGAAACTTTAAAAATATTTTTTTATCAAAATGATAAATATCAATACATATTTTTGAAGATAAAGTGTCAAGAAATAATTTTTTTAAACAAATTAAAAAAAAAATTCTTTGCTTTTTGAATTCTATCAAATAGTTGAAATTTGATTTAAAATGTTTATGGGAATTTTTAGGGTAATTCACAAAAATATATATAGCGCGAACGACAATTAAAAATTTTAATTTTGGTAATTTACGGAAATTTTCGAGGTAATTTATGGAAATTTATGCGGTAATTTATAGAAATTTTGTCTAAAATTCATAAAAATATGTAAAGCATGAATCACAATTAAAAATTTTAGTTTTGGTAATTTAAGGAAATTTTCGAGGTAATTTACAAAAATATATATAACGCGAACGACAATTAAAAATTTTATTTCAGTAATTTATGGAAATTTATTCGGTAATTTATAGAATTTTTGGATATAATTCATAAAAATATGTAAAGCATAAATCGCAATTAAAAATTTTAATTTCGGTAATCTATATGAAAATTTTCGCGGTAATTTACAAAAATATATATGGCGCGAACGACAATTAAAAATTTTATTTTGGTAATTTATGAAAATTTATGCGGTAATTTATGGAAATTTATATGGTAATTAATAGAAATTTATTTGGTAAGTTATAGTAAACTTACCGGAGCTATGATAGTTTATAATAAATATTTTGAATTTCGTTTGTTTCATTCTGTATTAAACTTGGACTAGTGACGGTCGAAATTTTGTGGCGAGTGGAGACGCTGGGGTCGGTCGAATCGGTGGAACTGATGTTAATAATTTTTTTTTTTTTTTTTTTTGAGAAAATTATCATTTATTTTTAATCGGTTTCATATGTTTCACATATATATATAGACTAAAATAATATAACTACACTTTATTTAACCTTTATTATTTAATTATATTCTATTTTTTTAAATAATATTGAAGGGTCGGTGGATGCCGGTGGAGACGATTCTGTGATGCCCTGTACAAATTTGAATCTTAAAATGTGTAAAAAAAGGATAAATCAATTAGAAAATTGATTATTTTCTTCATGGATCAACTTAAGGAATATAACTTTTGCTGTTACTGAAGTATAAATAGCAAAAAAAAAAGAAAATAATTTTTTTTTTGATCAAACGTTTTTTTTATTCAATTCCACTACAATATACAATCCTGTGGGGACAGGTGAAATTTTGACGTTTTCAGCCTTAAAAACCACTTTTCACGAAAAATTATAATGTTAAATACAAAAATAACTACAGTAAAACCCCGTTTATCCGAGCTCGCTTTATCCAAGGTCTCGATTATCCGAGGTGGTGTCCCAGTAGAAAATTCTGTATTATCTGAGTCTAGTCTACTTCATCCGAGTTATTTTTAATTTTAGTTTTTTATAAATATGAGTTTATTTTTAATAAATTCAAATTGTTTAAATTATTATGAAATATATACAATATTATTTTCCCGTTTGTAATAAATAATAATTGTTTAAACAATAATAATGTTAAATTGTAATAACAATTCGGATTATCCGAGTTTTCGCCTTTTCCGAGGTAGGTCCGGTCCACATTAGATCGGATAACCGGAGTCCTACTGTATAGGTTTTTATTACCTTTTTACATTGGAATCGAAATATTATGTGAATATTATTTGTGATTTTTCTTTCACAACATGAAAAAAAGCAAGTTGTGCGCTACGCGGAGAATCACCCATATAAAAGTTTCTTCTAAAACTTTAAGATTATATTTTCCTATACAGTTGTGCCAACAATTTATCGAAAAAAATATATATATATATTCTTGTTTTGAGAGGAAAATTTCTCTTCAAAAATCCCTCTTTAATTTTATATTTAAAACAATCTGAATTAGTCACTTTTGACTAATTTAATATCACCGATTCGTTTATTTAATAAATTAATAACAGTAGTGATTAAGTTTTAGTAAAAAATGACTAATTAACTATATAGTTAATATGATTTTTAGGTTATGTTACATGACTTAAAAATTAGTAGATTTATATATCAATCAAAAATTTTAGTATTTTTTTTTTACAAATAATTAGTTAAATTAGTTTTTTTCTGCTAAAAATTAGTTATTTTTTACTATTTAAAATAGGGCCGATTCGTTCACCATTTTACTGTTAATTAGTAGTTTTCTACTAATTCAGATTTAGAAATTATTATACTCTTGAACGGAGAGTGTTTTCCTCTTTTTTTAAGGATCGCAATAAGAGGACTAGGACATTCCTCTTATATTGAGAATAATCATTTCAAAATGAGAATAATATTCTCAGAACTTAGAATACAATCAAAATATCATCTAAAATATGAGAAATCCTCTCAAAACAAGAATATTTTTTTTCTGCAAAATAAATTTTTCAATTCTCCAAACTGGTTTTTTATACCTTTCAAGTGATATCATATATCTTATATAGATATTTGTTTCTCACATTTTTTTCACAGCAGAGAATTATGATGATGAAAAAGCATATATATATATATAGAATATGTCTTCGTTGGTCCTGGAAGCTGTACATATATATAGTATAAAGAAAGGAAAAAAAAGGGACAGTGGTTGAGCATCGAGCTTGAATAATGGAGAAGGGCGTGTGTTGAGAGTCTGAAAATAAGGTGGAGGTGGATTGCTGCTGTTACTGCCGCCACCGCGTTGCTGTCGTTGCTGCTGCTGGTCCAGAGCGCGCGGATGCTGCGAGTCGCGGGAACGAGATGTGTTGCCTGGCAACGAACGTCCACCCTTAAACCTCCGACCTCTGGCACCCTCAAACCCCCCTTCCCCACCCCTTGTCCTTTCATTACGATCGATACAAGCCCCCGTTTCGTGGATGCCCGGGGATTCCTCAATTTCCATTACAGGGATCCCGACTTTAAGTTTCAAACACTTCTATCAACTGAAACACCAAGTGAACGTCGCGTAGTCGACGTTCTCTTCTTTTTCAACTTCATTCCCTCTTTTTTTTTCTTCTTCTTCTTTTTCTTTTGCATCCTTATTCCAATAAGTAAAGTTTAAACTTTCAACGATTACATGAACATGAATGCAGTCAAGAATTCATTTCACCCTTTGGGAGATGAGATCTCGGGTGGGGTCAATTTTTTTCACATTGATATTTTATATGTGAAAAATTCACTTCTTTTTATGGTTAAAAATTTCTAAGTTCTTCTATATTTATGATAAAGCAAAAATAATTTTTTTTTTTGGTGAAAATAATGACAGTGAAAAAAAAATTTATTTGATAATAGGTTATTTGACTATTATCAAATAAATATTTACTTGAGCCAAATAATTTTTATATTTAAATTAAATAAATTTGTATTGATTCCAAATATTTGTGTATTTGAAACAAATACCATTTAATTGATAATTATTTAATAGAAAGAAATACTTATTTGAAAATAGTTGAGTAACCGATTATTTGAATAATAAAATGAATTTTTTTTTTATTTGTATTAATTAACATTGGAAATGGGGGGACTTTTGGCCTTGAAATTTTTATCAATTTGAAATAAAAAAAATAACTAATTAATTTATTATTAACATCGATGCATTACGTCAAAAATTTGTCTCTTCAAGAATGTAAAAAAAAACATTTTTTTTGTTTTTTAGTTATAGATATTTCATAAAAGTACGACAACGAGTTTTTAAAAATAAATATACAAAATTTATTTTAAAAATGTAAACATGTATACAAACACTCAGAAAAAAAGTTTTGTTTGAAACCAACAAATTATGGCTGAATAAAATAAAACTTTATTTGGCTCTTGTCAATCAAATTCTTTCTCCGTTCGAAAAATGTATTATAATAAACCAGTTTATTTAGATTAAATTAATATATTTATTTGAATCAAACAAATTTTCTTTGAACTATAGAATTATGTTAATATACAAAAGAATGATATATATTTGGTTTAAACAAAATTTGTTTGATTTAAATAAATATTTATTTAATCTAAATTATCGTTTGCTTTGTTGTAATGGTTTTTGGTTATTTTAATCAAAATTTTTTTAATTCAAATAAATATTTATTTGATCTAAATAAACGTTTTGATTTATTTTAATAAATTTTTCAAACGAAGAAAGAATTTAATTGAGCCTAATAAATTTTTTGTTGATTCAACCAAAAGTTTGGTTAATTGTACAGTAATACATTTGTTTATTTTACTCTAACAACATTTGTTTGTTTCAAACAAATTTTTTTCTGAGTGTATATTAAGAAAAAATGATTCTTTTATTAAACATAATTTTGTTTTTAATAAAAAATTTTTTTTGATCCATATTGAAAGTGGCTTCTTTTTAGAAAGGAAAAAGATGTCTTTGAATTAAAGATGAGTTTTTTTTTTTTTTTAATAATATCAAAGAAATATGCCATTCGCTATATATATATCTCGAAATAATATAAAAGTTCTT